TCCTGGAGGACAACCTGATGCAGTCTGCAGGAGAACTGAGACTTGGAGAAGACTTGTTTTCCATCAAGACAATGAGCCAAAGCTCCACAGAAATGGTTGAAAGACAACAAGGTGAAGTTCTGGAGGCCCAGTCAGAGTCCAGACCTCAATCCCACTGAGGATTTGTGTCTGGACTTGAAAAGCTCTGTTCACTTATGATCCCTGTGGAGCCTGACAGAGCTTTGGTAGTTTCATAAAGGATAATGTGGTAAAATCCAGTGTTTAGATGTGAGACCTGCTGCCAAGGCTGCATCCACTAAATACAGACTTGAAGGGGGAGAGTACTTGTGCAATCACTTATTTTATGTTTTGTATATTTAATTAATTGACACGACTTTGCAGAAATCTGTTTCCACTTTGACATGAAAGTGTTTTTCCCTTACAGAGCCACATTATACCGACCAGGACGCGGTGTTGACGAGCAATAAAAGGAGAAAACTTCAGAGGGGGCGAACACTTTTTATAGCCACTGCAGCTGCGGTGCCGAGCAGCCGGCGGCCTCACCAGTATGTCATCCTGCATCATGTCTTCGGGATGGAGAGGCCGAACGTCTCTCTGTCTGGCCTTCAGCTGGGCGGCATCACTCAGCACGCTGCAGTTCACCCCCGTGGCCTGCGGGTCGATTCAAATATGTCAGATATGATCTAAAAACGAGGTTTAATAAATAAATAAAAATTGCACAGGGGCCGGACTGACGTTGTGCGAGGAGACGTCGGTGACCGTCATGAACACTCGGTCTCCTGCAGCCACCGAGGGCAGATGTAGCCGCAGCTCCAGATTACTCACAGAGTAGCAGCCGAGGTTCTGCAGCTGCAAACGCAAACACACTTTATGCTGATATGTCTGCTGACAAGCTTCACTTCTACACTGAGCATGTGCACCGTCTTTACCCTGAGGTGTGTGTAGAACTCTGGTCCGATGGCCTCCGACACCGTCCGAGTCGGGTGGACCTCGTAGCGGTTCAAGTTAGAGTCGCTGTGCGGAAAAAAAATGCAAAAGGAGCAACATGTAAACACCTGCAGAGAGAAACCATTCTTCAGATAAATATCTTGCTGCAGCAGAAACACACCTGCTGACGAACAGATCGGGTTCGTACTGAACAAAACTCTGCAGCTGAACGCTGTTGTCGCCCAAAGTGTCTTCTCGCTCCACACTGTCACTGTAACGCAAACACACAAATACACAAACATTTTTAGGGTCTTGCTGTGGAAAAGCAAAGTTTAAACTCTAGTAAAAGAAAGAATATGTGCATAACAAGGCTACGGCTAGGGATTGTTTTCATGAATGATCAATTTGTTGATTATTTTCTGGATTAATCGATCGTTATTTGGTCTGAAATGTCAGAAAAATGTCTCGTTTTGTCTAAAAATATTCAGTTTAGTGTCACAGAGGAGGAAAGAAACCAGAAAATATTCACATTTGAGACGCTGCAATCACAGAAATCAGGCTTTCATTACTTAAACCGATTAATCAATTATCAAAACAGTTGGTGATTAATTCAAAAGACGATTATTGTTGCAGCTGTGGTATAAGTTTTTAAGTTACTTGCCTTTACTTTGCATAAATTCTTGTAATTTTGCTGTAATGCTTTCAATCAGAACAGTTTATCTTAGCTCACTTTATCTTAAATGCATGTAATAATTAAGAAAAAAGCAAAATATAAAGTTAGTTTAGCTAACAAATGTGCAACAATTTCAGCAGTTAATTGATGATTTCAGTAATTTTATAAAAAATAAAGAGAATAAAAGTCCAAATTCTGTGATTACAGCTTCTTAAAATTACATATTTTCTGGTTTCTGTCCTCCTATATGATGATAAACTGAAGATCTTTGGACAGAACAAGACATCCGTCATATTTGTGACACATTTCCCAACATTTAATAACTAATCAATTAGTTGACATTCACATGTGCTGCCTTTAAATTGATGTTTCTCATTTTTTCAAGGGTGAAAATACAAAATCGTAGGTCTGAAAACATGTAATTCTCCAAATTCAATCTGGATCTTTTACAGAACTTAGTGTCGGGTCACAAATGATCACAACCCTGGCCTGTGCTGATGGATGGTGCAGCTACCTGGCAGCGTTGAGCTTCATTTGCACTCGACTGTGCAAAGACGTGCAGCTGAACTCGAACTCCAGCATGAAGTTAACCTGCAAACAGAGACGAGAGCCGCCTGGTGACACGTTTCACGGAGTGGAGCGCGAGTGGGCCGAGTGGGAGCAGAGCCGTGGACGTACCTTGGACTGGGAGCGGAACACCGGGTAGCTGACGTTACACGAGTGGCTGTTGGAGCCCAATGCGGTGCACTCGATCTTGAAGTGGGCGTCCTCCTACGACGACAGAGCACGAGTTAGACGGCGCGTGGAGGTAATTGTGTGTGTTTAGCTTTAGAAGTGTGTGTTACCCTGATGCTCAGGCTGGAGAAGTGCAGGTTGCGCGAGTAGTGCAGCGTCAGGCTGGTGTTGTAGGCGTTCTCCAGCCGGTTCTCCAGCTGCACCTCCACCGCCAGACGCCTACGAGGGCTGCGGATCACGTAGGGCCTCTGTCTGTACAGGAGACACAGCCGCTGAGCGCACGTCTGCTTTTAGTGGACGTGGGAAGAAGAAGAGACGGCGTGGGAAAGCCCTGAACGTACCTCGTCCCTGAGATGTCCATGTGGGCCTGCAGCACCAGGTCCGTCGTGCAGACGTCGTCCTCGCCGCAGTCCTTGAAGAACTGGATCTGGAGGAGGCAGCAGCTGACCAGTTATTACACCTTAAACCATCAGAGGCCTTCTGCTTCACCATCGTTTTTATCATAAACTCTGGATATTTAAAATGGCATCTGTGGGATTTTATAGTATTGAATGTTTTATAAAAATCTGCCCGTCGATCCACTTTCAGCAGGTTTTTTTCTCACATTGAAATTTGACTCTGTTTTGAACAACAATAATTCAGGAACTACTAAAGATAAAAACCTAAAATTCTCTCTGTTATTTCTCATCATTTCACTGAGGCAGAATCTGCAATATTAGAAAAGTAGATCAAATACTCTTGAAAAATGAAAGAAAAAAAAAGGCATCTTAAAAAGTCCCATTTTCAGCTCACATTAACAAAAAAATGAGTAACGCAGAAGTCAACTTGTGATATTTTCTGATCCATATGTAGCTGCAGGTCACAATAATACAAAACTAAACATATAGAATACTTTAATATGAAATACGTGATCGCAAAAAAAAACAAACAAAAGTTATTTAGGTTGAACTTTCATTACTTATTGAGCAGGTTTGATAAGTTGTGCCACATAAACTAAAATATTGATCGATAGTCTGATCAGAGTTCTGGAGTTTTCCCAAATACAACTAAGAAAATGCAAAAAAAAATTAAAAACATACTAAAAATGGGTCCAACTGCAATTTAACAAAAGAAAATATCAAAACGTTTCTAAATCTTTATAAATATATTTTATTCTATAGAAATTTTCAGGGAAATCAGAGACGGTCGAGCAGATGTTGTTGTAATAGTTGATTGATGTAAGATGATATGATGCTTGTAGAAAATCGATATAAACTCACAGATTTCTTGACAGTCGTCGGCCAGCCTTCGTCCAGAACCGGACCGCTCTCCGTGTCGTTGATCTTGAACCGCAGTGAGAAGCTGATTGGACGAATGTAGTCCGCTGTGTCCTGCAACCAAGACAGAAACAAACAAAGAAAAGGTGAGAATCACTGGAACAAACTAATCCAGAACTGTTTTTGTTTTTTAATTTTCAGACATCCTAACATAGATTTCTCTGCAGAGGTTGTGAAGAGTTTTTTTTATTTATTTATTTTTTTACAGTATTGATTTCCTTTTAAGTTCCATCAGACACTTTAGGTGGATCAGGACAAAAATATGTGTATTTTTCTGAATGGCAAGAATTTTCCAAGCCAATAATTAAATTCATAGAATAATATCTTCTTCTCTAAAAGGAAGTGAGAATCTTAATGCGACACTGAAAATCAAATAAAATCTGTAAAATACGGTGAAAATCTCAGTGTGTCGGAAAAAAATATGTTTTAAAAGAAAGGTACAGTACAGGAACTTTTACAGTCACACACCATAAAAGATTAAATTTGCTAAAATGCAGATTTTTGATGTAAACATTTTTTAGTTATTTATTTTTACAGTTTTTGGCCGGTTTTAAAAAATAAATAAAATATTTCTCTTTCAAAACAATAGCAAATATTTGTAAAATAATCCTGTTTTTTTGCAAATAAAAATACTGTTAAAATAGTGTCATTTTAAGGTCAGATGTTGTAAGAGGATAAAATATCATTTAAATTTAAAAAAAGTTTTCATTGTTGATGTTGTTTTTGATTTTTTTGTTTTTTACAGTCAAAGTATACATCACTACTTTTTCAAAATAACAGCAAATTGATTTTTAAACTCTTAAAAAATATTTAATCATCACTATTTATATGCTGTTGTTTTTTTTTTAGATAATCAGATCACATTTGAGGCATCTGACATTTAAAAAACTGCAGCATGTCTTTCCAGAGACAGTTTCTTTGTTATTCTGGATCATCCACAGCTACAGATGTTCAGCAGCTCATGGCGCTTTGTAAGTTAGTGCTGATGGAAAAATACAACTTGCTGCGTGTTTAACAGACACTCATCTCTTCCTCGTGACCTCGTCTGTTCTGTTGCAGTTCAAAGTGTTCTGAACTACTTTTCTACTGAAGAAATCGTCCCTATAGACCGGAGGACTTCTCTCCTCGTGGATCCCGGTTTAACTCCACCAACACTCACGTAGACGTGGAACGGCAGCTTGTAGCAGATGGTCCGTCCCGTGTGGACTCGGACCGACAGCTGTGTCTGTCGGTGGGAGCTGTCGTCGAACAGCGCCCGCGCCGACAACTTCCTGTCATCCAACATGGCCGACACCCACAGGTCTGAGCAGGTGGACGGGACAGAAGGTTAGAAAGCTTATTAAGAAGCTGCTGTGTGAATGAGAAAGTAAAGGTTTCTACCGAAGCTGTTGCTGTGAGGTCCAGGCGAGCGGGACACGGTGGTGAAGCAGGCGGTGGCGTTCAGGCAGGACGACTCCCGGCCGCCTCTCTGGCAGGTCTTCTGGATGACGTTGATGGAGTGCGGCTGGAAGGACAAGCTGACGTTGATCTGGACGATGCTTCGAGAGCTGCAAGAGACAGTCATTTAAAAACAGAGTTAAAACTTGGAACTTGAGATGACACAGTTTTGGATCATTTGTCGTTTCTGGACATGTAATGTGTTCATTGTCTCCCAGCGCTTGTGGCTACAAAACAAAATCTACCTTCAACCTACCTGAGCATCACAGCGCTGCCCTGAGCTCCCACTGCCAAGTCTATCAGCTCGTCTCCATCCAGGTCCAAGCGAGCGCTCACACTGCGGCCGAAGTACTGCAGCGACGGGGAAATCGATGACCCAGATATCCGCTGTGAGATGGAGAAACCAGAGATTAGTTTGACTGAATCATCAGATGCGCCACTGAGCTTGTAGACAAACTGGACGCACCTGTTTATAGTCGTGGATCACGTAGATGCCGTTGCCGTGGTAGACGTAGACGGCTCCTCGGTGGTCGTCCTCCAGCGGAGCTCCAACTAGAAGGTCGGTGAATCCATCGTGGTTCAGGTCTGGAGCTGCTGCCAGAGCGTAGCCGAACCGGGCGTCCTGGGACTTCTCCTCCGACTTCAGCGTCCCATTAGAGACAAACACATCCTCCTGGAAGACAGAAAGATAACGGAAATAAACAGGTGTAGCAGTGTTAGAAACGACTGTCTGTGAAGATTCTCAGTCATCTAGGTCATGGTTGTTCTCGTAGATTAATCGTAGCAACTTTCTTGAGGATGTTCCCCCTCTCATCCAAGAGGCTTCATCAGATCTGACTGACTGGTTAGGGGTTCCAGATATCCTTAAGGAGCCACTAACACCTGGAGTATCTGGAACTCCCAACTAGTCAGTCAGATCTGATGAAGCCTCTTGGATGAGAGGTCAAACATCTGCAAGGAATCCAAGCAAGTCCAGGTAGAAGTGATTATTCTCATATGAAGTGGTGATGCTGCCGTCTCACCCCGCTGACGGTGTAGATGTAAACCCTTCCGGCCTCCTTGTTTCCTGATCCAAGGTACATCGGAGCAGCGACCAGCAGGACGTCAGTGATGCCGTCCTGGTCGACGTCCAACCCGCAGACCTCGCTGCCGTAGTAGGAACCAATCTGCAGACAGAAACATGTCGTTTCAGCTCACGGCCAGCAGGTGGAGACCCTGCTTCAATATCTGCAAACATGAGCTTCCTGCTGGAGCGCAGATGAATGACTCGAACCTGTTCTCCATTGAGGGCCTGCACGATGTCGACGTCGCCGTCGTCGCTGAGCTGGAACAGGATGACTTTGCCTTTGTGTTTGAACCGAGGAGCTCCGGCGACGTACAGCCTCCTCCAGTCACCGACCACCACGGACGACACCGTGTAACCTGCAAACACACAAAAAACACACAAACCAACACTGAAACTTCAAACTATGGCCTTCAGTAAAGAGCTAGACGGCTGTTGGTGAATGTTTTCATCAGATCTGGTACGTTTTTGACTCTGGATCATGCAGACGAATATGAAATACACTTCATCAAACATCTCCTCATCCTGCAAAAACAATCAAATAAAACCCTGGTTCTGTAAATGCAAAACAAACTGGCAACTCAACACAATACTCCAACGTGTTCTGTGCACGCTCCTGCTGGTGCACTGGACTGGAGGGAAGGAAAACCAAGTTGCATCGAAAGGAGACGCAAAACACTATAAGATGTGAACATAACTGCATTATGCACCGAGTTTACGTTGGCAGAAGCATCAGAGCAACGACTTACATGATCTCATGGGGAAGCAGATGGAAACCAAACGGAGACGGTCTGAAAACATCATTATTTTGCAGGAAGTAAAGAAACTAAAGCCTGATTAGAAGATGTTTGGGATATGCGATCAACACCTGGAGGCGAGGCTTTACCAGTTTTTACAGTTTTAGCATCGGTAGCTAACAAGCTAAAACCTCATAAACATCAAACATGTTCAATAAGAACTCTGCAACAACTCCAGGAAGTTTCAGACTGGATCTGCAAACGTCACCAGATATTCTGATCGGTTCAGGCCGAGATCCCAGTGCATTCTAATCCAGCCGTCAGGAGGCTGGAATGGGGGTAAATCCGTCCAGAACTGGAGTCTGACTTCACCGTCCAAACCCCCAATTACCCCGTTCAATACGACAGATAGAGGAACTGCCAAGCTCTCAGCCTGGAGCCACTCTGGGACACTTTGCCTGGTTTCGCTGAATGCTAGAAAAGAACATGAGCGGTTCTTGAACCAATAAGTTACCTTCTAGAGAAGTTTTTAGAATGATTATGACCTCGACGCCTAAGAATCTCCGCAGACGTGAAAGAAAACCAACTTTATATACTGTAAAGCACCAAATTCATGCTTGTTTAGTTGTCGTTCGAGCTTAATTTTGTGATTTGTGAACGCTACACCAATGTTTTCGTGCCTCATTTTCACAAATAGGGAAAGACTCTTAATATTTTGGTGTCAGATGAAGGGAGTTTTGGGCAGATTTACTCCAATTAAGGAGAAATCTAGTCTGAATTGATGTTGATCCAGGTTATTTGGTGGCTTACAGGTGCAGTCTGAAGCCTCCTGAACTGAAGGGTCGATCCAATAACACCAAACATGGTAGACTTACTGCTCATTTGACTCACTACTTTCATGTTTCCGTCAGTTTTTCTGCTCGTCAGTGAGAAAACTTGGTAATAAAACAGACTCTGATGGGTTTCCCCGTGAGATCGTGTAAACTGAGATTGTTTTCCGGTCTTACGGTGAATGCGTGTCCAAGATTGGAGAGAAAAAACATCAGCTTTTGAACTTCTTTTATCTTTATGATGCCAAAACCTGCTGATAGTTTCTGCAGCGTGAGCTCGTGTTTGGTCGGACAAAACAGAGAAAAGCTGGAAGGTTCCTGCAGTTTTCTCCTGTTTAACCAGCAAAACAGTGAATTAGATTTATTGAAGGTGAACATATATTTAATCCCTACAGTGCTTTTTTTTTAGGGCACTTTTGCTTCAGGGTTTCGTTGTCTTATTGATGCTTCTTTTCACCAAAACACGACAATGATATTTAACCCTGTAGGTTTCTAAGACCTCTACATCATCAGTTTTCTTCTTCACAAACCTGAAGTATACAAGCAGACACATTCACTGCACAGATAATCCAGCATAGATCGTAATTCATGCAGTAAAACTTGTGCAAATTCAAACGCCTTTTTTCATCAGAAGGTTCAATAAATGCTCCAGTTTCAAGGTTCAGGCTTTAAATCCGACATATTCAGCATCGTGTTCGGTGTTGTGGCACCTAAATACGCTGCGTGATTCTTGAGCTCCAGCGGGAACTCGCTCTCGAAGGCCTCTCTGGGCGGCATGATGCGCCCGTTGGTGCCCTCCTTCAGGACGCCGCCGTCCCAGTCGTAGGCGCCGACCATCCCGAACAGAATCCCGTCCTGAGGAGCAGATCGAGAGTGAGCCACGAAACACACCCGACTGGGTGATGAGGAGACACGTGAGGTGGGACTTACGTCCAGCTTGTGCGTGGAGAAGCCGATCTGAGACATCTCCATGTGGAAGGAGCTCTGGTTGTAGCCCAGCGTACCTAGAAGGTGGAGAACGGGTCAGAAATCAGCCTCCTGGTGTTTCCCTGCACATCCCCTCCCTTCCCTTTTCCTTCCTTTTTCCTCCCCAAGGTGGTCATGTTTCCTCTCCTCGTCCCTTTCCTTTCCAGTTTCCCCAACATGTTTCAGGGTGGCATCACTTTTCAGCAGCCTTCCTTTGACGTTCCTGCAGGTGTTGAAGCTGCAACCTCCCTTCTGGATATTTTATTTTAAATTTCTTTGACTGTTTATCTCTAGAAAATGACTCATCTCTAGCTGTACCAATTCTGCACTGGAAAGAAATGTTTTAGCAGCTGATGTCCCCCAAAAATACTGTAAAATTACAGCAACCAACCCTTTTCTTAATAAAAAAATACTGTAATTTTCCATAATTACCACATTTTCTAGCCTAATTAAAACCGTATTTTGACTGATTACAGATATTATACACCAATGAAAACCTTTTTTGTTGTGAAAACCTCCATAATTATACAAGTTATCTAAACGATGTGTGTGGAATAATGTGAACCTGAACCACACGTCACATGTTCACAAACAGTTTAAAGAAGAAAAAAAGTTTAGCATCCTCCTTCATTTTCTTCTCTCTTTGTGTTAGCTTTCTAGATGCCTAATTAAGCTAAATCGTCAACCAGATTCATCACATTTTCTTCATTAATCCAACAATATAACTGGAAAAACTGAAATATAGTTAATTTAAACTCTTTAACTTTAAGCATCTGATGGTTAAAGCTGATGATCTTTGAGGAAACACTGGACACGTCAGGATCTATCATTTTTAGTCGATTCCTCTGCTTGTAAAGCCAAACCTCGACTAATCCGATCCACATCCAAGCTCCAGTTCTTTTGGAGAAAGTGTTTTCACTGCAGCTTCTGTCCGATTTACACAAACAAAGAATCACAATAACGCAGCTTGTTTGGCCCTAAAGCTTCTGTTTGTTACTGGAAATAGTCTTTTAATTGAGCGAAGCTTCGTTTAAGCAGCTTTCTATCTTGACAAACTGTTTCCCTGATGAAGATGAAGCACCAAACATTGCAGATAAATACATATTTTCTGCGAGCGGGAGTGTGATTGACACTGTTGGAAGCCCCGTTTGGCGAAAAAAAGCTGTTTCCAGCTGAATGACAGCTCAACAGCAGTGACTGGTTTTGGTTTCCTCAGTGAAACCAGCAAAACCAGTAAAACCAGCCACTTACGGCCGCTGACGGCAAACTTTCAAGTCCCTGCCAGGAATCTCGGTGTCATCTTTGACTCAGCTCTGAAATCTGACAAACAAATTAACTCTGTGGTCAGTTGGTGTGACTTCCAGCTGCCCGAATGAAATCCATCCTCAGCTTAAAGAAAGACTGCAGCTGCTG